GAAAAATCAATGGAATTCCGTGAAAATTGTCGTGATGGTTTTCGACGAAAAATGGAATCCATCAAAAAATTTGGACGAAAAGTCATTAGAATTCCGCCGAAAATTGTTGTTATTGTTTTCGACGAAAAATAGATTCTGTTGAAAATTTTTGACGAAAAATCATTGTAATTTCATCGAAAATTGTTGTTATTGTTTTCGACGAAAAATGAATTCCGTATTTGACAAAAAACCATTATAATTTCATCGAAAATTGTTGTTATGGTTTTCGACAGAAAATGGATTCCGTCTAAAATTTTCAACGAAAAAATAATGAATTTTTGTCGAAAATTGATGTAAACATTTTCAACGAAAAACAAATTTCGTCAAAAAAATTTAGATTTTTTTTTAAATTTATCTCTACAAAATTAATATCAATTTTCTGTATTGCACCTGATGAAATGTAATCTAAGTAAACAATATATCAAAATCAAATCTTCTTAATCATTACAATAAATGCACAAAAGTCCATATCATATATTAGAAAGTATTAAAAAAAGACTTATACAGTTAACAAGAGGTGTACAATAAATATACATTGTCACCTTAAAAAATTAACAAATAAAAATTAACATATCAATACACAATACAAATTTTACTTCATAAATCAACAAAACAATTTCTTCTCAATCTTTTTTGAACTTAACATCAATACACAATCATTTTATTCCAACACATACAATATTCAACTTCCTAAGAGTGATAAGTTTTGCAGACTTAGGATCAAAAGCCTCTTCTTCATACACAACGATAATGATTTTAAGTGGATGAACTTGAAATATTCCTCCATGGTCAAGAGGCTCTCCTTGACTTGAACCCTCGTTGGCCTTTTTCTTCGTCACTGGCCATCTTCTTCATCAGGAGCATCATCTTCCAATTTAAAACTATTCACGGTGGGGAAAATGTTTGATTAACCTTTGACAAACAGGACATGAAGTCTTAAGCTACAAAACAGCCCCACACTTTAGTCCACAATACAATATAGTCTTATAAACAATAGTCTTAAGTTAAAAATGTGTGTAATCTTATAATTGGGGCAGGATATACTTACCATAAAAAATGTATACCACATTTACAACCAGCCTAATGATCGTTGATTTTCGTCAATCAAACGAATATAATTTATTGAGTTTATTAGAAATTAATAATAAAGTAATAAGTACAACCCAATAATTTTCAATAAATTATAACCGTTAGATTGACAAAAAACAAAGGTGATTTGGTTGGTTATAAGAGTGGTAAACTTTTATGGTGGTAAGTATATCTTTTCTTATCTCCTTAATTATATTAATTATGTATTTCTGTATCGTTTCCAGTTTTAAATTTTGAACTTTTTTTTAAAGAAAAACCTAAACAAACATATTGAAGGAACATAATCCAATCATTTCCGGTAAGATTGGTAGTAAACATAATTGGTTGTTACAATATCATATCCCAAGTAACATTGGTAGTAACATAATCCAATCTTTTTACATTTAAATTTTAAACTTGATAAGTTGCAAAAGAGTTCAGTATTCAATGTTTCTGTAATGAAATAAAAGATATATATGATAATTTTAAATTTAATATAATAGATAATAGATTGAACGAAAAAAGTTTAAATTGTAAAAATATATTTATAGTTGATAAAAAATAATTTAAATTTGATTTTAAATGAAAAAAATAAGAAATGACTTATTTATACTTTAAAAGAAAATAAATTAAAAGTTAAACTTAAAAATTTAATACAAAAAGAGAAGTCTTCTCTTAACAAATTGGAATTTCTTTTTCATGTATTTTTTGACGGAATTCATTTTCCGTCGAAGACTTTCGTCGGAATCTAAATTTCGTCGAAAAGTTTAAAAATATAATTTATGTTTCTTTATTTTTTTCAAAAGTTTTCGAAATATAATTTCTTTTTCTTTTATTTTTATTTTTTAAATTCTATAGAATTCATTTTTCGTCGAAAACTTTCGAAGGAATCTAAATTTCGTCGAAAAGTTTAAATATATAATTTTTTTCTTTTACTTTTTTTAAAAGCTTTCGACAGAATTCTTTTTTCGTCGAAAAGTCCAAAAATATAATTGTTTTTCTTTAATTTGTTTTCAATAGTTTTCGACGAAATTCATTTTTTGTCGAAAACTTTCGACGCAATCTAAATTCCGTTGAAAAGTTTACAAATATAATTTTTTTTTTCATTTATTTTTTCAAAATTTTTCGAAATATAATTTCTTTTTCTTTTATTTTTTTAAAAAAAAATCCAACAGAATTCATTTTCCATCGAAAACTTTCAACGGAATCTAAATTCCGTCGAAAAGTTCAAATATATAATTTCTTTTTTTTAAAGCTTATGACGAAAAATTAATTTTTCGTCGAAAAGTCTGCAAATATAATTTATTTCTATTTTATTTTTTTCAAAAGTTTTCGACGAAATTCATTTTTCGTGGAAAGTTTACTATAGAGTCCATTTTTTGTCGAAATTTTTGACGAAAAACTGATTCTGTTAAAATTTTTGTCAATAATTTGAACGAAATTTTTTTCGTCAAAAAATTCCGTCAATAATAAAGACTTTTCTAGTAATATATATATATATATATATATATATATATATATATATATATATATATATATATATATAATACTTAAAATTTGAGAGATCGAAACTTCCTCCTCTAACTAGTATGTGTTGTTGAAAGGAGGTATGAGAAGTTTAGAGATTGAGAAATTTTTCCTAATTCTCTTTTTCTTTTTATTAGGAATTTAAGTGTAAGCGATAAAATTTCATATTGGGTAAGAATATGTTAAGTAATAAACACATAAATGAAATTGAAAGGGTTCACAAACCAATATTTTAAAATTTAGAAAACTTCGAAAAAAACTCTGTAACTTTTCTCATAATCATTTATCCCCTCTTTAAAATTTTGAATCATTTATTACCTTAACTTAAAGTTTTTTTTATCATTTACCCCGTTAAGTAAATGGGATAAATGATAAAGAAACTTTAAGTCAGGAGGTAGTGATAAAAAAATTTAAATAAGGGTGTAAATGATTCAAAAAATTTGTGAAAGATCGGATAAGTAATAATTAAAAAAAGTTATACTGGTTTTTTTGAAGTTTTCCCTTTAAAATTTTGAATTAAAATATAAGTATCAAACTCATTTATTTTATATTCTTGCTTAGGCTATTGATATGTGAATGAAGTTCCAACCGCGTTACACTCCTTTTAATCAATATATATACTACTTAATACTCCGATGACAAAATTAAGAGAAAGCGGTAAAAAATAGCAACACAGAGGCAATTAAGGAGATTCTAATAAGAAAATGGGAAAAGTGTCTATATTTTTTTTTTTTTTTTTTGATAACAAGTGTCTATACTTTTAAATTACACAACTTACATCCTTTTACTCTCACAAAGAGGTGGGGCCCACAACTTTATTTTTTTTTTTGTCAACTCTCTCTCTTCCTTTATCTATCTCTTTCTCTCTCTTAAAATGACATAACTTTACATCCTTTAAAATTATACACACATTTCCCTAAGAAAATAGAGGGAAATTAGGAAATTAAAACTTCTGGTCTAAATGAATTGATAATCCGCCAAATACTTGGGCTTTTATGTCTTTCGTTTGGGCCCGTTTTAGTTAATTGGGTATGGGTTAGAGGGAACAGACCCATGTTGAGCTTCAAGATACGCTTCAACAGGCCTTAACATCATCCTAGTATAAACAATAAAGGGTTTAACTTTTCTGCGGCTATTCTCACAAAAAAGAGAGCACAAAAAAAGGAATGAGTCCCCTGCAATGTCGTTTATGTCAAAAAATTTGTCTATGTGCTTCGGAGAGTACAAAGTATGTGATAGATAAAAACTTCTGTAGTAATTACAGAAATATTTTTCCCGTTGATATATTTGTTTAACATATTACAATCATATTTAGGTTTTGAATTCACACGCAATTAGCTAAGCTTTTGAATTTGAACTCACACTATGTGAGTGCTTAAGAAGCCACCATACTCACCTTCTAAGGCTTGGGGAAGATCCCCATGAAAAAAAGTCACAAATGATTGTATGCCTTCCATTATTGATATTTAATTATAATTATCCACAACTAAGAGAATATGGTATAAAAGGCGTATAATAAAAAAAGTTGAATCACTTGATCAGTTTGGATTCTCACCGTCAGCCTCAAGCTAATGAGATTGTTGTAATAGTTGATTCCTTCTTGATTTATACCTCCATTTAGTTTCATGAACAGATGTGTTGTTTTGTCAGTGATTGAATGTGTCGTTTCGCTATTAAATGAGTGAAGTTCAAATCGTGACATTACATTTTTTACAAATAAATAGGCAATCATTTTAAAATAAGATGTTTTTTCAATTGATTTTTGCAATTTTTTTCGTATTTGTATCCTTCTACTCCAGTATGATTAGCCAGATATAATTTAGTTCAATGAGACTTTTTAAGTGAAAGTATCATCACAAAAATAAAAATAATTCGTTATATCTTGGAAGACAATTGTTTATGAATTTTGAGTACCATAAAAATGATAAATTGTTTTAAGGACGCAATGTCTAATACTGGGCTCAGATTTTTCATTACTTTCGTATGTTTTAATTTGCTATTATTTCATTTTTTTTGTTTTTTTACATGCATTTCATAGAACCGCATGTGTGGTTGAAATAATTTTTTAACCTCTTCTCAATTTTTGACATTATTTTTTTAACAATAACAAATTCTAAACAAAATTGAAGCCCAAGTATTTATTTGAGTTACAAGCTGGTTAAGAGAGAAAATTTATTTTATATATATGAGCTATTTTTGGACCGAGTTTGCACAACTAATGAACGAACAAGGAAACAGCTACGTATATATATTCATTAATTCATAGCTGCTATTACAAGGAAATTATTATTACACGTCTGCATGTGATGAAATCTAACAGAAATAACTGCCTAATAACTTGCAGGTGGAATGAACTACATGCTGTCAACCTTTTTCAAGTGCTGCGGTTGGAAGTGCACCAGCTTCAATTAAACAGTGGAGTTTCTTTTTAGAAAGTTCGCATACCATTGGGCTGAAACCTTTGGGTACCTTTTCAAACCGTCTTTGTAATCAACAAAGTTCAATCCAAATCGAGAGGTGAAGCCATTAAACCATTCATAGCAGTCCAAAAATGACCATGCAAAATATCCCTTCACTTTTGCGCCGTCCCTATATATATTTATCAAATGCCAATTATAAATTGAAAAGTTATAAAGTATATACATATATATAAAGACTTTTGCGTATAAAAAAATTCACTTACTCAATTGCCCATCGAAGATAAAAGAAATGGCGATAATAGTAATCAATTCTGTAAGTATCCAAAAGGGATTCCTCGAGTGTTAGCGTAGGATCATTGAACTCGTTCATACCTGTTTGTTAAATGAGAGATACATAATACAAAATATCATACATATTATTCTTTTAAATAGATTATTAGGATAAGAAAATTTTAATATACGCATGTATTGATATAATATAATTGTTAAATATAAATTCTCATTCATTTTGTCCAGATTTAAACTACAATAGCATTCAAGGAAAGTAAATATGATGTATTTATGTATTTACCATTTTCGTTGATGTAAACCACAGGGTTGTTGTATTTAATCTTGGTGTATAACAAAAGATCACGAAGTCCCTTTGGATAAAAGTATATCCAAACTGAACCAGGCGCCTGCATATAAATATAAGTAGAGATTTTTTGTTTATAGTATTTTATGATCAATTAAACGGATTCAACTTGTAACACATCTAAAATTTTAGGTGGCCACACAAGTACCTTTAGACCAAGGGGTATCCCATTGCGCTCAACTGCAATTGCAAAATTAAAGACATGCTATTATCGAATTCAGCAATTTAATGCAACGTAGTATTTAGTGAATTGATAAATAGATAGGTGTCCTTACATGAAGAATTGGCCAGAGAATCTGTTAGGTAACTGGGTAGGCCATTGCTTGGTGGTACATCAAAAACATAATTGGAGGAGTAATAGTTTAGGCCAATAAAATCAAATGAACCCTTTACTAAAGCGGCTTGCTCTGTAGAGAACGTAGGCAATCGACGTCCCACCAGGGCTCGCATCTCTTTAGGATAGTCTCCTTTTGTTAGTGGTTCCATAAACCTGCAATCAATCAAACAAATTAAAAATCATCAACTTGGAATTCTTTTTTCTATTTTCCTAACTTCTCTCTATTTTTATTTTTATTTTTTGGAAATTATTCCAAGAGAGATCACGCGCGATAACATGTCTCAAAATCTCATATAAATTACAGAGGAATCCCTGTCTTTAGCTAGCTGCTCACGTATTCCATAGTTTATAGGTGGTCCAAAATACGACCAAATAAGGAAACTCTTAATTAAGAATTAAGATCTCCTTTCAACAATGGTAGGCCCTTATCACCAAAAAGTCAAAAGGATGTAAAGTGTGTGTAACATATAGACCCTTTAATTACAATCACACAAATTTACGCTACTTTATCTATCTCTTTCTCTTTATTTGTTTTTTGAATAACATATATATTATGATATATAAAGTTTGATATTAATGTTTTTCATATTATAAAAGATAATTTTATCTTTTATATATACATAAAAATATGTACATATGTAGGGTCTATGTTTTTTTTTTCTCACATAACTCCACATATTTTTGTGAGTGTGTAAGAGATAAAATTATCTCGAAACATTAATCCCATAAAGTTCGTTACAAATTGGAATCCATAAACTCAGGTCTTTAAGAATTCTACTAATTAATTCGATACATAATATTAATAACTAATGATTATTATTTTTTAATTAGTGCTCTAATTACCCTGTTAAAACTTGAGGATATAAAGAGGAGCACTTACCATCCATATTGGAAGTCAAGCGATCGTCTGGCAGCCCTTATATGGTTTGTGTCATTTTCTTTGAGGGGAATGTACCAGTTACTTACCAACGTTATGCCTATCTCGCCCTTCTGACTTGCCTACACATGTATACACACTATACTTAGAATAATCATCATTTAGTGTATGTCAATAAAAAATATATGTAATGAGAGGTCAAGAAGCATTTAAATACAGAATTAATTTGAAAGAAAGATACGTTTATCATCTTTTTTATATTTAGTAATGACAATTTTTACAAAATATATATATATATATATATTAAATGAGGAATCCCTCTTGTCTATGCAATAATACATGGGCTTGCAATTTCTCATGTTGCATGAGAAATGCAAATTTTTCTACAGGGAGAGAAAGGGGTGGGATCCACCTTAAAAGAAAAAATAAAATATAAAAAAATGATTGGCACAGACATCGAAGTGAGAATGATAGGAGATGAGTCTTTTTTCCATAGTACATATGTAGAATGGTTATTAAATTCTAAGAACATGTATTCGATCTATTACTTTTCATCTCATATTTAAAAAAGAAAAATAAAATACTTTTTATAAATAATAGTCAGGTTTCAATTCTAGATATTTTTAATAATTTTCTTAAATACAACACCTATCAATAATTATTTGCTTACCCAAAAACAATTAATATGATAATTTTAGAGCTAGAGGGATGTCAAATGTCAACTAAGTAATGAACCTGATACTTAATCTTGTACACTGTAACAGCTGCAGCATGAGCAAGAATTTGATTGTGTGAAACAATATATGGCTCTGTCCCAGAATTACCACCAAGGCAACTTGGTCCAGTACATCGACCTGGTGCTGTCGTTCCCTGAGCATAGCCACCATTACTATACAACCATGGCTCGTTCAAAGTAACCCAAAGTTTCACCCTATCTCCAAATCGGTCGAAGCAAAGATCCGCATAATCTTGAAAATCCTGTCTGAAAATATAATATGCGATCGAACTCAATAAATCACAATCATATCTATACATTGAATTTGCTAGGCAGGCAATAAGCTTAATTATTGAACGAAGACTCACACTATGCGAGAGCTTAAGAAACCACCATACTCATCTTCCAAGGCTTGGGGAAGATCCCAGTGGAAAAGAGTCACAAATGGTTGCATACCTAAAATTGTCTCAATGATATATGATCAATATATAATTAATTTTTATTATCAACAACTTGATGATTAAAATCATAAAATGAAAAGTATTTGAGATGTGACCATTAGCCAATAGCTCGTTGATGAGGTTGTTGTAATATTCGACTCCTTTTTCATTTATATCTCCATCTCCCTTTCGCTTTCCGTCTATTGGTATTCAAAAATAAATAAAATGGTTAATGCCAAAGGTCCAACTAGGTAAAACATTAAGTCGAGAATATTAGAATAATCATTTATCTGTATACAAAAAAAAAAAAAAAAAATCATTTATCAACATGTGACTTACTTGGGAGTATTCTAGACCAAGAGATGGAGAATCTGTACGAATCCATATTCATGTCCTTCATCATCTTAACATCTTCCTGCAACATATATGGACAGCAATTAATATATTATCATATTGCACAGATTATTAATATCAAAATTAAATACTCGTGAAATTATTGTAAGAAGTGTAATAAATTAATATTTTACTTTTAATTAGTTTAAAATTTGTTGATAGATGAATTTCATTGGGTCTAAAATTTAATTATTTAATTAATAATTTCAGTTTATTTCTTTATATATACCTGTATTTTAAAAGTGTAAATAATTTGTACACAACAAGTACAAGTAATAAAAAAAATTAAAAAAAAAAAGAGAGAAAGAGAGAGAGACTTAAAATCATATATTCATAAATCAAAGTAGTCCTTTTTTAAAAAATTTAAATTTTCAACTTATGAATGATTTAGCAATTTTAAAATTTATTTTATTTTTTATTTTTTTGGTACTGGTTAAACTTTATTATTTAAAATATACATTTCCTTGTTTGTTTTATGCAGTCTCGTCAGAAATTATAATGTTAAGATACATAGGTAATGTTATCCAATATTAGCCTACCACACCCATGACTTCACGAGGAGGTTTGTTAAACACAGACCTAAATAACAAATTTGAGAAAGGTACGTAGACAAATAAATAGGATCTAAATGGGCTAGTTGGGCTACAGGGGTTTACGGCCTAGCCTATATTAGGTCAGACTTGGCTTATTATAAATAGTAAAATAGAACAGACTTAGGCTTTTAAAAATACCTATTTAGAAAATAGGTCATAGGCTTTTTTGTACATGTCTGGCCTATAAGCCTACAGGCCGACCTATATCATATTATTTATTTAACATATAATAAATAAAATTTTATTTTAATAATTTTGAATAATAAAATAATTTTATTTTAGTTATTCTTTTAATTGTTGAATGTTTAATAGACTTAAATAGGCTAACAGGCCTAGGTCAAAACTTTTATTTTTTTAATATAAGTAAGGTCAGACTTGTAATTTGGGGCCTACACAGACTAATAGATCAGGCCATACACAATACATTTTACACAGACCTGACCTATTTAAAGCAAAATCTAGGTCAGCCCAACTTATTTACGCCCCTACTATTAAATTTGCTGCTCTATTTCCTTTTCTATAGCAATAGGAAATTATGAAGGTCCAACTTCTATCAAATTCACCTTTCCTTATAAACATAAAGTACATATATTGGAGACCAACCATACCTTGTAGCGGTGATATTGGTCGACGGCGACGTCTCCATTGCTTCCATCCTTTATCCTTTCTGCATGTCAAATCACAGATGAATAAATATAAATTATGCATATGCATACTTTAATATCAAAGCAGGGGGAAAAATACAATTAAGCTCGGTTGAACTTCAAATCAACACCTAAAGAATATTACCGAAAGTTTTGATTATATTTATATATATTTAATGAATTTGATTGGGATTTAATATATAATTTTACATTATTTTTTTACATTATTATATAATACTGCTCTAATATATTATTTAGAAAGCTTAATTTTTTAAATATCACAATCATTATCAAATTTATTTGATAATATGGTGATATATAATTATATAACGATAGAAAAAATTTCTACACCTCATAACACTTCAAAATAATCATAACTTATCATTGACTCGTATTAATAAAACAATGTTGCCTTGAACAAAATAAATTGTTTTCAGATACTTAGAATAAATTGCCTTGAACAAAATAAATTGTTTTTGGCGGAATTTTTTCTCTTGATAAATTCCGTTGGTAATTGAGACATTTTTAGTTGTGTTTGTTTCCTTTGAGACAATAATCAAAATTCTATATGAAGAATGTTTTATGTGAAAATAATTTATTTCCAAAAATAAGATTTAAAGACTTCACATATGAGTATAAAATTTTATAAATTTAATCTCCTCCTTCAGTCAAACTGTAAATGTAATTAAAGAGAAATAATATGATATTGATTAAGTTACTCGTGCATCATACATGTTTTTAAATTTAAGACTTATAATAAATAATGTAATTTAATAAAAAAATATTTAGTATATACATACTTAATTTTAATAGATTAAAAAATTAATTAAAATATTTGAAATAGAACTTTTGGTTAAAAAATTTAATGTAAAACAAATCAATATAAACATACTTATAATTTTATTGCGTATAAGAGAAAGACTCGGATTTAAAATTAAATGATTATAAGACTTAATTGTGTTATATTTGTCTGTAATATTTGGATAATGGGACCACTCATTTATATATAAGTGTGGCGGAAAAATATTTTAAAATATTTTTGTAATTAGAAATATTTTTCTCATAAAATATTCAGTTTTTCTAGTTTATTAAAAGTAATTGCGCCTTTGATTGACATCCGTTTAAAACATTCAGAAAATAACCATAGAAAGGTAAAGAATTAAATTTGAAAGTTAATAATATGAAAATTTTAATAAAAATATAAATGAAAAAATAAAATGTTAATAAAACAATAAATGGTGTAATAAATTAAAAATATTGAGAAAATTTAAATAAAGAAAAAAATTGTTATGTGGCAATTATAGTGAAAGAATTTATAGTATACATACAGTTGTAGATCTCAACATTTTGAAATTTGTAAAACTCACGTGCTCTTTTATAGGTTGATATCCAACCACACTTGTAATTAAAAATATAAAAGTTAAACATCCTCTTCTCAAATCTTCTTTTGCTCGCCTGAATGTTAGAGAAAAAAAAAGAGAGAGATACCTGGATGTTTATGGGCGTAGGTGTCCCATATACTCAATCCTCTACCACCTTCCCTTGCTGCACCTTCAAACTATATTTCACAAATACAACAACACATGCACCATGAAGTAAAGTTAGTATAGCTAAAGATATACGGGACATTATTTTTTTCTGTAAAAAGCTGTTTCAAAACTCATATGTTTGGTAAGCAAGGGTTAATTAAAGAGCAATGCAATATATATTAAGCATTTTGTAAAGAACCATTTCAATTAAGTGATAGTTATATTAATGATTTTATATTAATATCTCTAAACACATTTTAACCCATAAAAATTACTTGTACAAATGGGTAATTACAATAAAATTTAATTTTATACTCAAAAAATGTATAAAAAAACACTATAAGAATAAATAAAAAAAACTAAAAAAGATATAGGAAGATATATATACCTGGTAGGCTGAGGATCCCGCCCCAAAGACAAAGCCCGGAGGGAAACTGCTCCTTTTCAGAGAACCAACGTCAAGAATAGGAGAAACTGCAACTGCATCTGTGAAGAATGAGGTAACAAGAAGAAGAGCAAGCATGCCCTGAAGAAGAAGAGGAAGAAAATAGCCGTTGAATGCCATGTGTGTTTATTCTCCTCAAAGGTTTCACTGCTTTATGCGACCGAGTGCTTGCCTCCTTATATAGAAAAGCTACACTTACTGTAGCATGCATGTGGTAGTTTTATAATAATATAATAATGAGTAAAGCTATAAATCCTCCGAAATTATTTTTATAATAATTATCTTAATAGTTAATAAAATATTCAAATCAAAAACAAATATTTTTTATTTAATCATTAAAAATTATTTAGCAAAGTTTATAATTGTTTTAAAAAAGTATAAAGTATGGGAAAAAGTATTCCAAAACAAAATGTTCAAATGCAATAATTTTATTCTTGCATTTATACTCTAAACTTCCTCTTCATGACAAAACAAGGAAGAGATAATAGTTTTTTTTTTCTTCTCTTTCTTTTATCTTTTCTATAGAAGAGAAATGTAGAATATGGATGTAGAAAATTGTTGGAATATATATATATATATATATATATATATATATATATATATATATATATATATATATATATATATAAATTGTATAGACAATCTATTGGTTATGAATAAGAAGTTTGGTAGTGAAAAGGTGTGCCTTTTCGTCGACAAACAGATGTATCTTTTCATCCTAAAGGATGTGTTGTTTCATCCTAACGGACATGTTGTTTCATCCTAATGGACATGTTGTTTCATCCTTGAATGGGTGCCTTTTCGTGTTGAACGAATGTGTCTTTTCGTGTCCAACGGATGTGTTGTTTCGTCGTCGAATAGGTGCCTTTTGAAACGTGACCGGTCAGTGTCTATAAATAGACACTAACACCTTCATAAAATGTATCCAATTTTCTGCACTGAAACTCTGCCGGAATTTTTCTCCTTCCGGTTTTGCATATTCCTTTTCATACTCCGGTGTGATTTCCTCTGGCATATTGTTGTGTTCGTTTGGGCTGTTGATTGGTAGTGCCGCCATTCTTCAGACGAAATCCGTTCTATCCTGGGAGACAAGTGTCCATCAACCTTGGGCATCAGTGAGGGGGCAAATTGTCTTAAGGAGATACGTTCTGTGGGCTCGGATTTTATTCCTCTGATATTGCATTTTTCATTCTTCTGATTCTGTCTGTTTCATACATATCAAGTAAGTCTATTTTTAAATATTTTTAATTGCACAGTGACAATTCTGATCATCTACTCCCTTCTGTTCTTTACATGGGTTCAAACCTCTAGTGATTTAATATCACCCACTGTCTTCACTAACAATCTTAAGACAATTTGGTGTTTTGAACCTGTGATCAGTATATTCTGTTTCTTATTTTATATACTGTTTCTGTTTTATTTACTGTGTGATTAATTGTAATTTCTGTTTGTGTAAGAGAAACGGAATTTCTAATCTGTTCGTTTTAATACTAATCTGTGTTGGTTATTTGATTCGTGAATATTCAAATGGCGGATTTTCAATTAATCTTTGTTTGATATCCGTGTTTGCAAAAAATTTGTCAAATTCATGTTTCAATGTTTTTGCCTTCTAACATAAATAATAGATTAATTCTTCTCGATTCACGTGCTTTTTATGTAAGAAGTTGGAATTTTTCTAAAATTAGAACCGACACTGTTACGAATTTGCATTATTGCTTTATGTCTTGTTGCCATTATTTTATATATATATATATAATAATGCTAGAACCGACACTGTTTGGTGTCTTGTTGCCATTATCAGTTTAGATTTGTCTTAATTGAATTTTTAATAAATATCACTTGTGCCTTCTCGGAAGTCGTGCATTGAAATTGCCTTTCAATATATACATGTGTTCATAACTTCATGTAAACGATAACTGCTTTTCGGTTTCATGTTGAAATTTGATGGTTACATTGGAATAAGTAACAACAAGTGAATCACGATTTATGTGATTATGGCTGAAGCGCAGTCTTCATGTTGTCGCATCCCATTACATGCAGTGAATTAATTTTTGTCATTTAAATGTTGAGTTTCTTGAATTATGGATGGCAATTGCTATGTGTGACTGATGGGGGTTGCTTCTTTCCTGAATAACTTTTGAAAAATCGGATGCACAGTTACGGTTCCATATTGATATTGATTTTGAAATATGTTATTTCTTTTTGGTAATCGTGTGTATCAATATATACATTCCATTTTATTTGTTACACTTTCCATCGAATTCGGTTCACTGTTACACTTTGTAATTCATTTGTTGTGTTTCAAAGTCCATCTCAATTTTCGTGATTGTATTCACTTTTCGAAAACCATTTCTAAATTGAAAGCACAAGTGATAATGTGTTCTGTTGTCTTGTTTGGAATATATATATATATATAATTGACGCCACTAGTCATATAAATATATTATATGATGTATGATGACTTTTGACTTCTGAGAATGAGTATGAGAACGAGTCTCATCCAGTGTTATGTATCTGTTCTCAATATATGGCTTTAAAGATGGGTTATATATATTTGTAATTTACTTGGCTTGATATTGGCTTTGATTTTTGTAATGGGGCCGCGATTATGAAAAAAAAAAAAAAATTAAAATTAATATGGTATGGATTTAACTTTATTTTTGGGGCAGGTAAAGCCAAAATAATGTATTTTAAATGCATGCTTGTTGTTCAATATGTTTTGTGCTATATGTACGTGCCCACATGCGAGCTATGATAATGGCATATATAGACATATAAGTCGTAGGCTTTTACTGCATGTCTTTAGAATCCTGAACAGTGGATTTGCATTTTTTACATTAATGCAAATAATGATATTGATGCATTGAATAAATATCAAGATGATATATACTGTTGGTATATGTTTAATATTGAAAACTCTTAGAATTGATTATATGGGAAAGCCATGTTTTTATTGACATTCAATTGTATATGGCACACATGGATTTGACGGTAAATGATGGTGTTTGGTAAATGATGGTGTTTGATATCCATTAACCCGTGACTTATAAATGTGAAAGTTTTGACTTTATGATTTAGGCAAGTGATAATTCTTGTTTAAAAATGCACTATGTGTTTTGATGGATATAAAAGTCTTATATCTAGTGAAATATTTGATACTATGTGAACTCAAAAGAGCTATCTTAGTGATGGCATGATCAAGGTCAATGGATAACTTTGAATATTGTAAATGACATGATAATTGCATATTATCTTATGGTTAAATTGGATTTATTATTTGATATATGTTAATGTTCAGTAAGAAAGTTAAAGGCATTAAGGAGCGATCGAGGGGAAGATTATAATGACCCTTCGAGTAGTTCAGTTTCGAGTGTGATATCATATAACAAATGATTGCTCCTTATGCTTCACAATCCAACGGGATTGCTGAGAAAAAGACCCAGACATTAAATGATATGATCTTGTTGATGTCTGGTTTGTGGGAAAAAAACATTTAATGACAAATTATATATAATCAGTAAAGTATCCCACAAGAAAATTAAGAACATCTCCGTATTCATCGGTTATGCACTTAATAGTAGTGCTTATCGGTTTCTTGTGTATAAATCTGACGTTTCAGATATACATGTTAATACGGTTATTGAATCAAGGGAAGTTACTTTCTTTGAAGATGTATTTCCGTATAAGAAAATACATGAATCAAGT